TGCGACCAATCATCTCCCTTAGCATTAGCAATCTTATACATACCGGTATCGTCTCTTCGGCCACCGAAAGGATGTCTCTACATTTTTATAGGCAGAGAAAACTACATTTGATTAGGAAAATGAGAGAAAGACAAAGGGCAGAGTGTCACGCTCAAGCCGAAGAATTCTGATAGTTCTCTGGACCAGTGCATAGAAATAAATAACACGAAAGTTTCTATATCACTAAAGATGGTGAAAATTTTGTGATGCATAGAATACTCTCGCTTATACAACTACAACATAAACTGATCTGGAGCAACGCTCTCATCTACAAATTGAAGGCTATTACAATGAAAAATAACTCTCTGACCCAAAAGACCATTATGATAAAGCTAGACGTAACTTCTGGTACAGTTAAAAGGATTACAAGTAAGACTCACGAGCTTCCGCCCACATCTTGAAATCAGCAGTTGTTTTCCTGAGAAAGATGGCCGAATAAACTGGAATTACAGCAATACCACTCGAAGATATAGTCTTCCAATGCTACTCCACTGAAGTTTTGTGTCTTTGGTCTACTTAAATTTGGTCTTAGAAGTCAAAGTCCACGTATATATAGTACTTGGTCTGTGGAAGATTTGCAAAGACCTGTTGGTCTTAAGATAGACCCAGTCGTCCTATCACAGAAGCTTTTTAAAAATTATTATTGATACTTTATGTAACACATGGGTTAATTGGCTAGATCAGACAGATTTTGGCTTAGTCACCCTTAATTTAGAATTACTGCCCAATAGCAGGGAAACCAGTTAAAACACTTCTGATCCCTGCCACCGAGGCAAATCTTGGTTGAAGGAGAGAGTCTTTGTTAAAAATATATTGAAATAAGTAGTTCAATATACGTAGTCGTGTAGAAACAAACCTTACTTGCTTCTACATTCGAGTTTTTTTTTTTATTTTTACATTTGTATTTGTTATAGTTACGTGTTTCTTCTCGTTAACGCCCTCCCCAGTAGTACAGCGGCATGTTTGCGGAGTTACAACGCCAGAAACCGGGTTTCGATACCCGTGGTGGGCATAGCACAGACAGCCTAATGTGTAGCTTTGTGCTTGACTACCAACAAGTCTTCTCGTTAATAATTAAAAAGCTTAGGTTTAATAATTCTAATGAATTAAATTGGGTATATAATTCAAAAGCATATATTTAAAATATGCAGTGAATACACGCTGTTAAAGTACTGTAAAGTAAATCTGTCAAAAATGTATCTTACGAAAATGTGTATGATTTTTTTCTCTCTAAGCATCGCTCTTGTTTGGTATTTTTATAAACAAAGTCAACAGACATCGTGAATGATGAAAAGATTAGTCGTAAGATCACTATATAATGGCAGAAAATTAATCAATATGTTTGTTTGTTTGTAATTAA